GCCTCTCTGCTCCTATGATGCTGCTTGGCCTGCTGTGTTCATCCAGCCCTGCACCTTGTTGTCCCTCATTCCTGGGGACTTGTTCCTGCATGCACCATGCGCACCAGGTTCAACCACTACCCAATCCTCAGAAACAAGTAAAAGCACCTGTGTTTTTGGGTTCCCCAACTACAGAGGCAATCTGACAATCCATATAGCTGCAGTCCCCAGTTGTGTAATGCCAAATGGCCCACCAGCATCCAAAGACATACTGATAAAGTTAAACAGTGTCCAATGTATTACCATCTGGGCTGTGAACACAACACTATTGGGCAGAGATTCTGCACAGCTGAAGCTTCAGACAACAGTAAATTTATAAAAAATGCTGCCCTTGCCATCAGCGCTCACGTCCTACCAAGGAATGGTACACCCGAAAATAGGTTTTCTTACTTGTAAAAAATAATTTTAAAAGAAAAGAAATCAGCCTACAAAATGTTTACATCATGCACTGAAAACTTATACAGAAGTAATCATGCCATAGCTTATGGAATGGAAAAAATAAGCACTGTAAACAGTTATTTCCCTTACCTACAGTGTTTCCTGCAACAAATTTTACAGTGGTGGCTAACTTAACTTCTTCTGAAAGCTCAGGAGAGTTTGTAAGCAAAGGGCTAGTTGGGTGTGTTAGTTCTGTAAAAAAACAGAATTCATTTGGATTTAAATGAAATAAAATTCACGACAAGAAAGCAAATTACTCCCATAATTAGGATGTTACTTGCATTTTAGCTACTGCCTGCTTTATAATGGATCACTTGATGGCACTCAACAGTTGGAAGAGCATGCAGCGAGCAGCCATTGATTCTCAGGCAGGGTAGTGGTAAGCATACTCAGCAATGCAAAAATTCACTACCTCACTTCATTAAATGAGGTTCATCTACATTTAATTGATCTCCAAACACTGTACACTGCAGCCTTGTTACGAGTAGTTCATGCATTTTTGGGAAATTAGATTGACAGTAGCCAAGAGAAAATCTGGCCACTTAATTAGATTTGCAGTTTCAAACTCTGATATATAAAATGCAGTAATACAACTGCGATAAGAAAGGCAGTCAATTTATAACCACAGGGAGCAAATGCAGGTCAAACCACTAATCACTTCCTATGCCACTGGGTCATATCACCAAAACTATATTAAAAGGGCATTTCCAGGACTGGAGATTCACTGTATAAACACAGGAGCAATTACTAATATGAACAAGCCGGCAAAGGTACTGGCTTAAAAGTTTCCTATACACCCCTTAGAAATGGTATCCGATAAAAATTAAGATTATCCTTACAATGCCCTTCACTCATTGCACCCACTGGCACAAAATGACAAACGTATTAACTGCGATTTCTTTTATCTTAATGTACTCCTTCAGTTTGAGAACCTATTCAGAGGCATTTGAACTGAGACAATAAAATAGGACATAATAATTGCATTCCTATCAGATATAGAATTGTCCAAAGTTCTCATTGCATCTAAATTAAAAGTATACAACTTATGGAGAACTGAAGCAGTTAACTGTTTATTCATCTCTGGGATCTGGACTCAAATTCAGCTCAGAAAGATACATTGACAGCTTCTCTTCCTTGCTAGCAACGTCCTGAAGTAAAACAAGGTTCAGACATTCAATCCTGTCCCAAGTGAACATCGGCTAATATTAAAGCCAGCCACCTCAATGAGCTCAACCTCACTTTCCATGCCAACACATCCCATGAATGAATTAAAAATGAATGATAGTTGAAACAAAAACTAGGGTATGGACCACATTCTATAGAATGGTTCCTGGGGCTGGAACATGACATTGTTGAAGCATAGCAAAGGATGTATTGTTTCACAGCTGACCTTTGTCACAAGTGAGCTGTGCACAACTCACGGAGATAATTCCATACAAAAACTGGAAATCTTCCATATTTTTGGCACTACGATAGCATAAAAGCGCTCATTAAAATCCCATATGTGCTCTGCATTTATGAAAAGCTGCAGGCAGCCTGCAAATTACCATGGAATCTTGCGGTCACTGAGTAACGACATCAATCTGTGCGCTTCACCTGTTGACCCAACCTTGTAGGGTCCTACTCCTCCCCCATCCCCCATCCCTGAGCTTGCAGTCACCTCCAAGACCAGAATCTCCAACAACAGCCCTGGTCCCAGCAGAAAACACAAGAACAAGAATAGTTTGAGAAATGGACAGCAGGGGACACAAGCAACAATAATTTGTATAAAATTTGGAGTCAGTGGGTGGTATGAATTTGTTAAGTGGGGGAGGGATGCAAAATTTCTTTAAATTTATTTCCTTTGAAATTGCGAATATCAATTCAGTTATTCTCTACATGTGTGCTAGGTTTCTATTCAGCCAGATGGGGGAGTATTTGAGCAATTTCTCAGTTGCCACACCTTGCAGTGTTCTAGGACAGTAACTCTGTTTAACTCTATCCCCATCAAAAACCCAGGGACACTGAAAACCACTTGCTGATCCAGCCAAGATTACATTACTTAGCATAATTCAAGAAATTCAGCAGGGGGCTTGTAGTCTGTATGGTCCAGCACAAATCTGGCCAGTGTCTTTATAGACTAAGCCAAGGATACAGGAAATGGATCGTGTACCCAATTTACAACATTCCAAACTGATCAATCAATACCTGGAAGAGCACCTACTAATTTAATTTAATTTGAATTAAGTCAGCAGTAACTAAAATACAGGAGTCACTTGGTAGCACCAAGCTTAAATCTTGCTAAAAAGTGAGATACATTGTTAGAGCTTTCCATCTTGTACTCAGAGCAAGCATAAGAATGCCAAATTTCAAATCATGACCAAAAAGTTATACTACTAAGAGAAAAGGATGCAGATTGGTTGCGCTCAAAAATCCCAAAACATCTTTTAAATGTAAGTTTGCGAATTGACACTTGCCAAACAATTCGGAGTGCGCTATCAGCTATAGTAACAACCAATTCTAGATAGTCAGATAACTTGTAAAATGGTTAATTTATTCTTGCTTCACACACATTCAAGCCTTGCTGCCTTTTTAAAACTACCATTTGCTTTCTACATGTTAACACCTTGTTCAGAGTAGAGTTGCCCACCAATCAGCAATCTTTTTCTCCTGTGATAAAAGATGTCGGTGACCATTTGAAATTTGGCATTCTTGTGTTTGGCCAGGCAAGTACAAGTTTCAGTAACATGGCTCACTTTCCCACAATACTAAAAAAATAAGGATGTTATAGCTAAAGACGGCAAATAATATTGAGGAACAAACAACTAGGGTTTTGGAACGAACAGAATCTGATCCGCACATCTCTCATTTGGGAAACAGACTGCATGTCCAGCTCAGACGCATTGAAGAACCATAGCACAAATCCCCTCATCTCACCAAAAATCAAAGGCTGTTGGGATAACTCTGCCTTATACCACTGAACAGAAAGTGCCTTCCATATATTGTTTTAAAAAGGAGCACCGCAAAATCATTTTAAAATACATTCTTTAGGAACTAATTACATTTTCTCTAGAATGAAGAAAAGGTTATAGCAATGCATCTAAAATTTTGATGGTCAGTAAAGAACTAAACATTGAATGAGATAGACAGACATGGGAGCAGCCCGTTTCATTACCACTTCCAATTCTTTTCAGCTCCATCTCTTGCATGTGAATTTTACTTGGAGTCATGCGGATTGGCACAGGGTGAACAATAGCTGTGTCCTGCAATTAATTTTTTGGGGAGAAAGAAGTGGGGTCAGGGTGGGGAATAGAAGAGAGAACAGATAACACCATTAGCAACTGCAGAAGCAATTTAAATATAAATCAGACCATTCACAATACTTGAATGAAATTTTTTAATGTACCCACTTAATATTCCCTATGTCTGACTATGCACAGCCCAATGATTTTGATGGCAGTGACTAATCATCTTTGATTATAAATGCTTAGGAACAGGAATTCAACATTACCCTGAAATTACTTTTGACAAAAAGATAATGCTTCAGTCCAAATATTGATTCTGTATAATTCCTTTTGCTTTTATTTTGAGAAGGCGACGGGATTTTTTTTGAAGTCAAAGTTTTTTTCTTGTTTCCACAGATATGGCAATGGGGTGGACAGACAGCTCCTCAAGGCTCTGCTTCTCTGCACTTGAGTACAGTGTACAACAATAAAGACAATGAATGTTACAAGCTTCTCCAAAACTTACTTTCCAATTGCACTGCAGCAAAAGGAAAACACATTCACAAAAGACAAGTGACAGACGTGACATATGTGCATCGTGGTATCAATTAAACATACCACAGTGCAGAGCTACAGAATGTATTGCATCAGGGAGGCATTCTGCTTGCAACTTTATGATATCACACTCGTGGCAGATATCACATCTTGGGGGTGGGGAGGGGTCCTCTAGGTCAGTAGGACAAAATCCTGCCATCCTTAGCATTATCTGGCCACTGACTGCAGAGCTCCTCCCTGTAATAAAACACATGATTTTTACTTTGCTTTTTTCTAAAAGTCCGGGCAAAAACCTCAGATACAGACTCACTGGTTAGAGTAACATGCCTCCACAACACTGCAGCAGAGACCACTTCTACTGCCGATAAAAAAGCTGAATGCAAAGCTCTGTGAAAATAACACTTGCTCTTAAACAACAGTTCACGTCCAAAAAAGCATATGAAGAGAGTTAACAAAATATGCAAAGAGCACATCTTAAACTTTTTATTTAAAATAAAAACCTTTCATGGCCTTAATCTGTGTTGTGTAAGACAGCACTATAGTCTTATTTTGTTATTAAGATCAGTAAAGAGTTAACATCAACATAAAAGGCAGAGAAGTACAATGAAAGTGACTTTTTGGTAGGAATGAAAAGTGAATGAAAGCGCAGAGCAAAAAGCAAAAGGGGGCAGAAACTTATCCATAATTTATTAATTATTGCATCAAGTAAACAAAGGAGGATCATATAATTAAAAACATGAAGTTACTTGACTAAAATCAAGTAGTTAACAGTAGCTGTTTTATCTATACATCTAGCTCCCCTTTCAACATCTCAATTGACTCTGCAATTACGACCACTTAGAACAGTAGTTGGGCATGCATGTATCCAGCCAGAGTTCATCCAGTTGGACAAACACATAACTGTAGCAACATAACCATTACCTTAGCAAGTTTGCAGGGGGGAAAGCTTTACTTGGTTTATATATATGGAGTCTTAAATACTTTCTTGAAAATAAATTGAAACATAGAAATACAGATTGTTTATTCCTACCATTCTGTGGAGCGATTAGAACCACAACTCATGTGACTATTAAACCATGTGCTTGCTGTTTCTATGCTTTTTTTCATAACAGTCTTTCAAGTACTACCGCCTTAAATGTTATCATGGTCTCTGCCTCCATCACCAACTCCCAGCTATGTTTTTCACAGCCTCACAATCAAAAAGATATTTAAAATGTGTCTCCTTTTCTTGGTCCTGAACACTATTTTGTTTCGATACTCCATTGTTCCACACACTTAAACCTCTGGTTTCACCTATACTCCTCTGTTCTCTTCTACTTTTATTATACTTTCACAACATTCTTCTATTGAAACAAAATAAACCACACCTACAACTGTTGTATTCATTTAGAAGAAAGGGAATCTTGTGCGACTGGCACAAACAATTCACAGGTGCCACGTGTCAGAGAGCCAGCTCTAACATAGGCCTGTATCCTGCAGAGCACCACAGTCACACCAACATAATTTCACCAGATCAACTTCTACTTGAATAGATCATTAATTGGAGAACAGCAACGATTAAAAGAATCTCAAGTATCTTCATTTACATAGCAGCCAACAATATGGTAGACAATAAGTTAACTCCAATGAAAAGACTCACAAATAATAATTTGGAGGAAATTTAGCACGGCTGCACTAACATAGAAAGAGTTACCATGTCACCAAATGCAGCTACATTTGCTTTCCACAAACCAGTGTGCACATACCTCAGACTAACCGAATTTGCACTGTGACAGTAATGTACTTGAGCAATCTGCGTGAATTGATTAATCTTCTAGGGAACATGACCATTAACTGCTCTTTATTCAGTAGGATTCCCATGACATAACAAAGGTTTCAGGCAGCCCTGGTAACATGCTATTATATGGCGCATTACCAAACTACTGAGACCAAGTCTCATGGTTAATACTGAGTTGGCAGCATGTGCAAAGTTAGTGATGGGGTCTATCAACTGATAACAGGAAACTTCCCTCCTTCCAAGCCCGAATGTCACCCCATGACCAGCTGGCTAGTTTATATTTGTATAAGAACATACGAAATAGAACAAAGAGTAAGCCACTCAGTCCCTTAACCTGCTCCTTCTTTTAACTGATCATGGTTGATCTTCTACCTCAACCCATTTTCCCACATATCCCTACATGTCTTGATGTCCAATGTCTTAAAAACTGGTCAATCACTGTCATGAATACAGTTAATAAGAGAGCTCCCACATCTTTCTGGAGTAGAATATTCCAAAGATTCACCACCCTCATCTCAGTCTTAAATAATCTATCCCTTACTTTGAGAATGTGTTCCCTATCTCTAGAGAGACGGACAGAGAAGTGTACGTGGGGGGGGGGGGGGGGTGTTGAAGGAAATTAAGGAAGAAACAAAAAAATCCTCAAAATACTGAGTGCAGCCTCCTCTTGAAGAGCAGTAGATTATTTTGCAGTTACAACAATAGATAGACCACGTTACTTCATTAGGTTTTCAGAATTAAAGACAGCATCAATTGCAAGCACATGCTGATGGTTTGGATACAGCATGGAAAGAAGCAAACAAGACTTTAATGCATCAATATCAGCAGCTCCTTCAGAGTTGATTAGTAGATACATACAGATAACTTCCAACTTAACACATGCAAAAGCAGGTTATTTTAAGAAGCTCAGGGTTGATAAAACAAAAGCATATCATCAGATAGCCCACACTACGTGATTCACTTACAGGATCAGCTGGTGCAATGTTAGAATCAAACTGGGTCAGAGTTTGCGAGCTTGAGGAGCGTTCACTAAAAGTCTCCCACTGCTGGACAGACAGAGTAGAGACCAATCAGAATGAGAAAGGTTACACATCACAAAGCTTTTAAAGGTAATTTTGCAGAGAAAGTTAAAAAGGAGAAATTTTAAGTCAGGCATTTAATTCATAATGCTTTTAACAGCTTGATGAGATGGCATTCCTCCTGCTTGCCAGTGTGTATCCAATTTTTAAACATTCATTCCCCTAATTCACTGAACAAAACAGGGCTATTGAATAGACGGTGGTTTGGGTGTAGGAAATATAATATGGAAGTCCTTTCAATGTAATAGTTTCTGTACCCTGTCCAATAAAAGATGCATCACAAACACACCATTCCTATTTAGTGAAATCCAAAACAGATTTGTAGGAACCCACGACTGAGAAAATTCTCAGCACTCCACAGCTAGATCCTCATCCAATTAAGCAATTGAGGACATAAACTGCATTCTTTTCACACCAGAATGGTAATTCTTAAATTCAGATGTGAATCAACAGCACAAGTGAGGAATGCTAGTGTAGAGCAACTCATTTGCAATCATGTTTCAGATTCCATATTCAGGGGCATAAATAACACACTTATACACTAGCCTAACGTTAAGGACCAGATGAGGGAATGAGTATTCCCTGTCCAAGGCACAAGGTGAGTTTCTAAGATGATTGTAGAGCAAGACCAAACAGAAAGATGGAGTGATAATTTAATACCGCCACTGGCCAGATGGAATGGTGCAGACAGGAGATTAAGGTAAAGGAAAGTGCAATGGGGTTCCAGTTCCAAATATTTTAATGAGCTTGAAATCAAACAAAGTCTTCTGACCACAAAAGGAATGGCGTGTTTTAAATGGCAAAGTTGCACTCCAATGACGCCAGAACAGAACCCACAATTTTAACTTTCAGCTGCTTATGGGTGTCAACACCGCTGGTAGATTCAGACCAGAGATGGTGCAGATTGGTTTATCCTGTTAAGTACATTACTTTGAAGTTCAGGAATGCTTCATGTGGCCCCAGACAAACCACCTACCTACCCCCTACAGTTCATGACCTCCTTACTCAGCTTGCTAGGGCTTTGGCATATATTCCCTTGAAAGCAAAGGAAAAAAAGGTTAATTTCCGTGACATCACTTCTAACAGCAGTTGGTAATAGTCAGTGTTGGGAAATGTCAATGAGATCTAGGTTTTAAAATTTCCCAGAGATAGCAAGAACTGCAGATGCTGGGTCAGAGTCAATGGTGTAGAGCTGGAGGAACAGAGCAGGTCAGGCAGTATCAGGGGAGCAGGAAAGTTGACAGTTCAGGCCTAGACCCTTCATCAGGACATGAAACATCAACTCTCTTGCTCCTCTGATACTGCCTGACCTGCTGTGTTCTTCCAGCTCCACACTTCATTGACTTTTAAATTTCCCAAACTGATTCCTTTCCAGAGTTAAATTGCATCAGAAAAGGGTGATAACTAGGGGTATATGCACTGATTGCTTTAAAGAATGATCAGTGAAAATGATTTGAAGAGAATGCTAGGTCAATTTCATATAGTTCTTTGAGTGTGGGAGGCTATTTCTACATGTATATGTACCATGTTATAGTTTAATATTGAACTCAGTAGTTAACCCATTAAAAGACAAAAAGCAAACTAATGGTCAGAATTTTGAATGTTCCAACATCTGATTGTAATGCCAGAAGCATCTAGAATTATAATGCAAAGTACCCGCATTCAACAATAGCACAACTACACTCCTATTTTGAGTCACATCACATGGTCTCTTACTCCTCAAAATCCAGGACCTCAAACAAACAAGACTGGCAGCAATGGAAATATCAAAGAAAGGCAGAGTGGCCTACTCAAAACAACTGCATACAATGTCACTTACAGAGACAATGACTGGGGTTGCAGCTTCATTTGACATTTGCTTTCAGCTGGCTTAACACGAAAGGAGCTAACCTCACTGCAAATAGCATCCTATACTGTAGGCTACAAAACTACTCTAGAAAAAATTATAAAAGAAATCTGACTTGGTGGCCCATATTACAGCAGCAACTTTTATTTCTGTGGTATCCTTTAATGTAGCTATTTTTCTCAAGATGCTTCAAAAGAGTATTAGAAAATGTGACACTTAGATCAGGTGCCCAACCAAAAGCTTGTTGAATGTAGATGATTTTAAAGGAATATCTTAAAAGGAGGGGAGATACAACAGTTCAGGGAATTCCAGAGAGAGTTTAGGGCCTAGACAAATCAGATTCATAAAACGTTTTGGTGGTGGTTTTTTTTTGGGGGTGTGGCAGAATAGGAGAAAAGAGCGAAGGGGTGGGGTGGTGTCCGCAGGTTGATTTTGCATAAAAGCAATTTGTAGAAATTAAAGCTTTACAGAGCAGCCTTTACTGTTAAGGAAACATTACAACTTCATTATCAGTGCAGACTGCTCCCCAGTTGACCAAGAAAACCAACCTGTCTGGTAAAGGTCATCCTTTCACTGATATTTAGACACTAGTGGAATGTTTGATTAATTCATACCCTTCAACTAATGAACAAGAGAGATACAAGGAGAAAAAATATTTACTTAATCATCAGGTTGGCTCAAATTATTAGTCAGGAAACCTTAAACTATGTAGAAGGACATTTTGCTCTTGACATGTACAATCAAAACATTTAAACTTTTGAGATTGTTTATGAATTCACTGCATATTTTTATATGCCCAGTAATTCAATGTATTTCCTGCTGGTTCAAACCTCCCCCAAGAGCCATACCATTGTATGAAACCTACTGAATTTTATTGAGAGAAAAGGGAGTAAAGGAGAAAAGAGACAATATATTTTTCTTTTCTACAGCTACATTCAAGTTGGGAATTCCGGAAATAAAACACCACTTTGTTCACTTTTTAAAAGGCTCCGAATTCAAATGTTTAATGTCGTAAGTAACCTTTCCCACAAATCATCTTGCATTTGAGGGGGAGGGAGGGAGAAAACATGTGCGTGGCAGTGAGAGGGAAGTGTGGTAATAAGAGGGGCAGAGGAAAAAAATCTGATTCCTTTACATACACCCTATGAAGAGTGTACACTGCACGTCAGAGGCGTCAGATCCAAATCCCTGCTGCTGAGTAGAGGGCATATTAAAAAGATGATAATGGTGGGTGTGTGTCGGTCGCTACAACCAACCTCACAGATCTCAGCTGAAGGATTGAAGGTGCTAAAGGAAATCATATATCCCATAAAGTTTCCGCATTCGATCAGTAGCTTTCCAACAATGGATTCTCAGATTAGAATCAAATGCACCACTCTTAGTGGTATAACAGCCCGTTAGTACTCAGTCTAAGCTCACCTAAAAATGATCATTGTACAAGTTTGAAGTACTGTACCTTGCCGTCAAACAGGGAACACTGCATCCAGAAAAGAAGTGATGAGTGAGGTGGAGATGGGTAATAGTAGCAAATGAAGCAAGAATAACTTTATGAAAGAAAATGAAAATTGTTTTTTACATCAGCTATAAGCCATAAACTAAATGTACAAGTCAGGTTATTTGGTCTCCATCTGGAATGGATTTCTGCAATGTTACATCCTTTTAACTTTAAAACACAGCACTACTTTAATTGAAAATAAACAAGCCATTTCTTCATGCATTTGTGCTTTATTTTTGGGTAAGACACTTGCCTTGCAGTTTACTTCTCTGTTCTAATTACACGTTGCATTGTATCCACCCAGTAGTGGAGAAAATGAAGATCTTGTCTGATTGCAAGAAACTGTGGATAACCTGCAATAGGATGAATGCATATCAATGGAATACAATAGAAACCAGCTACTAACCTCACTGCCCTGGTTCAGTTCTGGCCACGTCTGGTTTAGTGAGGGCATCGATGGTGATTTGCTAGGGGGCACATCTGCCGGTGAGGTTGAGAAGCCAGTTTCAGAAGCCCGATCAGCGATTCCTAAAACAGAAGGTGGGCAAATCAGAACCGCATGACATTCAGTTGTAAACAAGTTGATGTAGGTACAAATCAAATGAGTAACAAAGTTTGAGGGTTAAAGAAACAGCTAATTCCAAAGGAGGTTGCAATTAATTATTCTACCTGCAGCAAAAATTAAACACTGAAATGAACAGTGACCGGGCTATAGCTACTGAGAAATAGATTATAGTAGCCTTTTATACCTCTTCCCTTTTTCTGAAAATATAAAATTTCTTCTCTATTCCTCTCCACAAACCCCACCATCCAGATTAGGAATTCCCATTCAAGAAAATCACAGACTCAATCTAAGACCCAATAGTCTCCAGACTGTGTTAGCCCCCTACACCACTGACATTCACAGTTTACATTAAAAGAAAACCTAATGCACAAACATGTTCAGGAATCATCACTGTCAGGGATTTATTCCCAACTAATTTTCAAGCTGCACCTTCACACATTGTCTCAAGGTTGGCAATGAATCACAATTCCTTAATTTGAGCAGTTTGGAACTAGGAGTTATAATACTAGTTTTGCTCAGTTAGTAACACTGTTGCGTGAACCCAAAGGGCATGATGGTGCACTGTTAGTACTGCACTTTGAGATTCAGCCTGTACTAAGCAAGTGCTGACCTGGTTGGTCTTTGAAATGAAAAGTTAAACTGAGACAGAGTCTACTTGTTCAGGTGAACAAAGATCTTATTTTGTTATCTGAATAGCATAGTTCCATGTTTCTTTAGATAATTTTTCCATTCAAAGAGAGAAATTTGTAGTTTAATGACGATTGTGCGCAACTGGTTGTTCACCTGCATAACAATTGCAATTCGAAAGTAATTAATTGGTTGCGCAGCTTTAAGATATGGTGAAAAAGATACATGCTGTAAAGAGGACATTTATTCAGACAATACCGTAACTTGTCACTCGGAAGCATGCCAAAGAGCCACAGATGCAATTACGTTGTGTAATTATTATGACAGTCATAGAGTCATACAGCACAGAACAAACCCTTTGGTCAAACCAATCCATGCTGGACGTAATCCCAAACTAAACTAGTCCCACTTGCCTGCTCCTGACCCATTTCCCTATAAACCTTTCCTATTCATATATCCGTCCAAATTTCTGTTAAAAGTTGTAATTGTACCTGCATCCACCACTTCTTCAGGAAGTTCTTTCCACACATGAACCACCGTGCGTAAAAAATTTCCTCGTCTTTTTTTAAAATCTCTCTCCTCTCACCTTAAAAATGTGCCCCCAGGCTTGAAATTGCATCGTAGGGAATAGACAACTACCATCAACTATATCTATATCACTCATTATTTTATAAACCTCTAACTCCACCTCTCAACCTCTTATGCTCCAGTGAAAAAAGTTCCAGCCTATCCAACTTTTTTTCATAACTCAAACCTTCCACACCCGGCAACATCCTGGTAAATCTCTTCTGAACTCTCTCCAGCTTGATAATATCCTTCCTATAACTGGGTGACCAGAACTAGACAGAGTATTCCAGAAGAGGCTTCACCAATGTCCTGTACGACTCAACGTAATGTCCCAACTCCTGTGCTCAAAGGACCGAGCAATGAAGGCAAGTATGCCAAACGTTTTTTTAAACCATCCTGTCTATATGTGACGCAAAACTTTAAAGAATTAGTACCTGGACCCCTAGGTCCCTCTGTTCTACAACACTACCCAAGGCCTTATCATTAAATTGTATAAGCCCTACCCTTGTTTGTTGCACCAAAACACAATACTTCATATTTATCCAGATTGAACTCTACCTGCCACTTTTTAAGCCTATTGACCCATTTGATCAAGACCCCGTCATAATCCTAGAAAGCCTTCTTCACCGTCTACAATGCCACCAATTTGGTGTCATCCGCAAACTTACTAACCATGCCTTCTATATTCTCATCCAAATTATTTACATAAATGACAAATGAGGACCCAGAACCAAACCCTGTGGAACACTGAGATAACGAGGTGTAGAGCTGGATGAACACAGCAGGCCAAGCAGCATCAGAGGAGCAGGAAGGCTGACGTTTCGGGCCTAGACCCTTCTTCTTTCTGAAGAA